TGTAGGAAAGGAATAGGAAAAAATTGTTGTTGCCCCCTCCCCTCGATTCTTTTCATCATAAGCTTAGCCAGACCTAGGGTAAACTCAAGAAATATATTGTCTGTTCAACTTGCAGTTGGCAGCCAGAGCGCCAGGTACCCTTCAATGAAGTCAGATTACCACCACCACCTGATATCAAGAAAGAAATAGGTGAAGGAGATGAAGTGGAGGTGAGTTTAACCAGATGTTTTGTTTCCCGATGAACTCTCCCGTTACAGAACTGACTGTCCGTTCGGGAGAACGGTGATGAGTGTTAGGTACCTTAACAAAGTGAAGATTTAAAACGGCAAATGTATCTGACTAGGTTTATTAGGCCAATGGCTCAGACTGAGAATTGACATTGAAAGCTGTTGTCAGTAACTAAAAAAGTATGCGTTTTCTGCTATTATTTTGAAAGGCAGCAGCTTTTGCTTTCAACAGAACTTTTTGTGAAGTGTCAATTTTTTTTCACAGGAAGCTATTCATGGAATTTTTTTGCAACTTAAAATTTAAAAATGCTGAGAACTTCTCAGAATTAAAAAAAATGGAAATTTCCGGTTTTGGTCTGGCAGATAACTGTCAGAATTGTTTTGATGTTAATATTTAGAAAAGCTCTTGTAATAACTTGATTTTTAACCCTGATTAAGTATCTGATAGGAAAATATCCGTTAAAAAATTGTGCGAGTTAGTGTGTTACAGAGAAGCGGAGTTAGTTAGAAAACATGCATTAAACTGGGAAATTAAAAGATACCTGTTCTGTCCCCGGTTTATTATAGTATCTTTAGTAATTCCCAAAGTTTAACTTCACGCATTTGACTTGGCCTTAAAATGCACGATAAGTTTCTTTAAGAGACCATTATAATTTTAAGACAGCAGTCTAAGAAACGACATGCCATACATGCTGTTTGTTGGCTCTGGCAGAGGTTAAGTTTGAGGGGTTATTTTCCACCTCCTAGCTAATGCAAAATTTCTGATATAGTTTATATGCAAATAACTTTGGCCTGCCTTTCTACAGGAATATAAAAGGAGAGATAGAAACTTAAAGAAGCTAAGGAAAAACTGAAAATTTTGCAAATAACTTATTCCATATCTGACATTGCATTAACTTTGTGGGTTTTGTTAAATAGGGAAGATGCAGTCAGTCATATGACAACTTGGTTTATTTCAGTAGTCCTAGATACATTGAGTAAGCCAAAGACAAAATGGAAACTTCAGTTATAAGCTTCGTTCTGTATATGAACTTAGGGTTTTAAGACAGTGTTTAAATTGACTGAGAAATTGCCACTGAATAAATATCTGGCCCAAGTCATGTCACTCTGAACGCTGCTTATGTATGGCCGATAAAGTAGGCAACGGAAATTTCATAATCCTTGTTGTGAAAAATAATGAAAATTTATGCAAGAAGCACATCAGACAGTGGATAGCCATTATTTTACACAAAAACAGTTTGGTCTTGTAGTGTGCGATTCCATTTTTTGAAAATTTGAAAAGAAATTGGGGCGTTCTTCCCTTACTCTCCATCCGGGCAGCTGAATTATGTGTATGTGTATTTTAAATGTATTTTACTGCTTTTCCTTTCAGGTTTATTCTAGAGCAAATGACCAAGAACCTTGTGGCTGGTGGCTGGCAAAAGTTCGAATGATGAAAGGAGAGGTAAATTATTTTAAAACTTGCTGTTTTTATGCAGTTATGTGAAATACAGTAAGCATGGAAGTTTCTCGTGACGGAAGAATTTTGAGAAAAGTAAAAAACACGACACAACTGAATTATAAGTTGAAATTTTGGAATGACCTTTGCTACATTACACAACTAAGGGTTGTGTTTTTATAATTGAGCAGGTCGCCTCCATTATTAGCAGTTTAAGTGTTTGGAGGACTGCATGCATGCATGCATGCATAGTAGCATCTCTTCTAACAAACCTACTTTGTGAATTGAACTTAGTACTAATAATTTAGTAAAGCAGCACACTTTACCTGTGGTTAAAGCCACTGTTTAAAATTTCCTATTTATTTCTGATAATTAAGCATGCTATATATGTGGATAACTTTTTAAAATTACTTTCATTCTTTTTTTTTTTTTTTTTAAATTTCCATTGAGTAGAGTGGAAGGAGACTGCTTTGGTTGGGTTTTATCTGTGTCGAGTTTGTGTTTTACTGTTGGCTGTTGCAATTGCATATGCAAAATAACTTACAGATTCAGTCACTTAAATGTACGCACCTGTGGCTGTGTGCCTCATATCACCTCTAAGACTTTATTTTGTGAAGTGGCAGCAAGAGAATGTAGCTTCCAGTAGGAAGGGTACTATGTTCTTATACAGTGTTAGATTCCTAAAAGCCTAAGGAAGCAAGGTTGAGAATGAAGTTATTTTGTCTAATTTCTGATATTGTTTTTAACAGCTGTCAATAAAAAGTAACTGCCACTGAGCTCCTTAACAGCAAGGTGGTGGTCTAAATATAATTTAATTTAAAGTAAACAGTTACCAAAAGAGGATTCTGTGTTTCGGTCCTTGTGAGAAAGCAGAATTTCAAGAAAAGGACATGCTTACGCATACTGATTTAAATGATTGAATTCTTCAGTTGATGCTGATCTGCTTCTCTTATGTGCTGCAGTTGTTTAGAATTTTACTACCAGTTACTTTGCTATAATATTTGGTGAGAAACTCTGATTTTTAAATTGTTCAAAATGATATACTTACTTTGTATAATCTGTCTTTACTGCTGTTAAAAGGTAGTGAAAGAAATGTTTTAAGTCCTGTATTTCAATTAGAATTTATGCAGTTCTTTGTTCTCCAGTATTTTTGACAGAGAGTTTTCATCCTCTGATGGCTGGTACCTTTATAGATCATTATCCAATTTGTTATATTATGAAATGCTTGGGAAAAAAATGTTCAATTTCAATTTGTCAATCTTTAACATGGTTTCATATTAAATTTCTTTTTTTCTGACAAATGGGAAATTCACAAATCATGTTTCTGATGATAATTAGCTTTTATTGTTCTGTTAACCAGTGTTGTTCTTAAGTGTAGGTGTTACTTTTAAAAAGCATGTGGTGGTAGTTCTCTTTAATTGTATCTGTTCATCACTTATTTTTTCATTATGACTACTTAACTTGTCTTGCGTTATGCTTCGGAGCAGCCTTGTAGGATTAGGGAGATGTATAAACCAAATTTAAAACTTATAATTGGGAAATAGTACGTGGAAAAAATATGTCACCGCTTCAGTGACTTACCCCTTCCTGATACTCGAGTAAATATTGTCTTTGTTGACAAAAAGAGATACCTGTTTTGGGGGAGGAATAGGAAAAAGTACTGCTGCACTCCTGAATTGTGCACAGGTAGAAGGGGGGCTGGAAGGCAGCTATGTAAGGAAGTTGTATCCCTAGCCAAACCGTAAGGATACTGTGCGCATGGGCTTCTGGATACTTACGTATGTGTTGGAAGGAAGAGTAGGAGGAGTTTATTTGGTAGCTCATGTATCTTCCCGGTCCTCTTTCCTCCTTACATTGGGATAGTGTCTAACAGAAAGATTAGATGTGTACTTCCTGTTCACCTGGCAGCAGTTTGCCTGTTGAGTCAGTCGCTTTCCCATTTTTTTTATTACTGTTGCAGAGCAGCTATTTCTGGGAAGAATGAGTTATATTTACTTCTCTATCCAGTGTTCCTTTAGAAAATCAAGAGCTCTGGTCAGTGTTTTCAATTCTGGAACCTCAGTTGAGATGCTAAAGCAGGTACTGGAGAGGGATGGGCAAGGGAAAAATCAATTGAACGTGCTTTTGGGGGGATTGAAGTTGTGCTGATACAGTGCCCTGACTTCACTGAGTGTTCGGATAGGTACTGAACTATGCCCAGGCACTGAACTATTCATTCACATAGAATAGTAGCATTATGTCAGCTTAGATTTTTGCCTTGGTCTGTATGTTCATGTTTTGTACTTTCGTGGTGGCCGTAACGTTGCGGTGTCTGTCGTTCTTAATTGAAGTTACTCATTTGACTTAAAAAAAATAATAATTTCTTCCATAGTTTTATGTCATTGAATATGCTGCTTGTGATGCCACTTACAATGAAATTGTCACTTATGAACGACTCCGACCTGTGAATCAAAATAAAGCTGTCAAAAAGAACACCTTTTTTAAGTGCACAGTGGATGTTCCTGAAGATCTGAGAGATGCGTGAGTAACTCTGCGCACTTCAACATAGCTATTCCTGATTTCATTACCTACGTTTATATCATGTATCCTACACCATGTGTTCTCAAGAATATTATTTCAAATATCTTAAAATTGTAAATACCATGAACAGCAGTACTTTGAAATGCTGAAGCAGTAGTTTCTTGTCCGTTTTTCCTGACAGCCTTGATATCCTTATATTTTGCAAATACATGTTCAACCTATATATGTAAGATGAGGCATTTATGGAAATGTATTTTTAAAAAAAGTTTATTTTAGAAACCAATTTACAGCACTATTAAGAATCTTAAGGATGTCTATCACAGCTATAGCTGGCTTAGAAACTGCTGACTGGGATCTCTGCTGACCATTGGGTTGACACACAAAAAGTGGATGCATACATGGGAGCTTCAAGTCTTACTATAGCCATGTGCAGCTGGTGCACTCACAGCGGGTCTGTGTGACTGTGCTGACACACAGACGACAAAGAAATAAGTTATGACCGTGTCAGGAGATGAGGAATTGTGCCCTTTCTGAACACTCTTTGCCATAAACTGTTGAAATGTTCGCGGTTCTGATCATGATGCTTCGTGTTCTGTATTGATGCAGCTTGCTGAAATAACACTTAATCTCTTATCTCCTTAGGTGTGCTAATGAAAATGCACATAAAGATTTCAAGAAAGCTGTAGGAGCATGTCGAATTTTTTATCATGCTGAAACTGCTCAACTAATAATACTGGTAAGTAATCTAGTACTATGTAAATTTTGCATGAGTTTTCGGTTTACTGTTTATGGGATGTATACAGCCATCTTTACATTTCCATAGAAAATCATTTAACTTGCCAAGCTACGTAAATTACGAGAAGTTTAGTGTAAGTTGATGTCTGAAATGCATCTTTGGGGGTAGGCCTTTTGAAGGGACTGTAAACATGTGTACAGCCTAAATTTAGGAGCAACTTCTAGTCTCTCTGTTTTTATGATTATATTTATCTTTCATAACTGAGTGCAGTTCCAGAACTGATTTATGCAGATTGCTCAAAGCTGGAGTTCTCTTAAGCAGAAGATTGCACCTGTACTGTATTACCTTGTGCCCTTCAACCTGCAGCTGGGTTTCCCCATCGAGGAGGTCTACATCAATTCACTTAGGTTGAAACCTAGATGTGAACTAACAGGTGGATAGTGTGGATGACCAGGGAGCTGAGAGCATGAATCAGGAGGAGTGAACTAGCTGGGTGTTGGAGGGACTGAGGTAGCTTTCTGCAAAAACAGCTTGGTTGGCCTTTTCAAAGGTACGTGACTTTACCAAGGAAAGGAATGCATAGCCAATTAGATAATTGTTCACTTAGATTGTTCCGTGGCTGTTTTGTCTAATTACATAGACTTTTCCCAGTTTCTCTTCTCAGTTCTGTTAACTTGATGTTAAATTATCCGCTTGCATTTGACTCTCCAGACTTGGATTTTCCCTGCTTGTTTCCTTAGCTCTCCCACTGATGCGATGAGTGGCATGCATGCATATGGTAAAATGACATTTGTTTGTCCTGTGAACATCACA